TCCGTAGTGATACTGCCTGGGAAACCCAAGGAAGGGTCGCTATGAGTCGGGTCTGACTCGACAGCACATAACAACAAGTGGTTCTGTGGGAGAAAAACCTGGCAATCTGCTTCCCTAATAATTATAGCCAAGGAAGCCTTTAGTGTCAGTGGTCACAATCATGTCTGAGGCAGGATTGAGTAGATGGCACCTAATAATAACAGCACTAGCAATGTTTACTAACATTGGTTGAATGAGACTAACAGGGTTTGAATGAGAACTAAAGAATGAAACTTAATCAGTTCTACACCCAAAGTTGTTCATCTTTCCCTAGTGGTATCAGAATCTAAGTGAATCTTGTTTTTGGCTGGCTAGATGATTGGCTTAATAGTTATCCAAAATTGTACATGTGGTCCTCAATTTACAGTGGGGTTCTGTTCTGACAACTCTGTGGCATAGTGCCTAAGGCACTTGACTGCTAACCAGAAGGCTGGTGGTTCAAACCTGCCAGCTACTCCTCGGAAGAAAGGTTGGGCAATCTACTTCTGTAGTGATACCGCCTTGGAAACCCAAGGAGGGGTCTCTGTGAGTGGGGTCCAACTCCACAGCAGTGAGTTTGTTTGTTTTGTTGTATGTCAGTCCTTACATAGGTTGAATACCTCCTTTTTTTCTTTCCTTTTTAGTTTTCATCGTTACTGCCTTTTATTGTCAATATCTTTTCTTCATTTGTCTTTGGGGGTTGGAAACATTACATATAAACTTATAGATATGGTGATATCAGCAAACTGTATGCTGCAACATTGTATATAGTATATCTTACTAACAATATACCCCCCAAAAAACGATGGTTGGTTCATTGTAACGTGAATGTGTTGTAAGTCAGGAACTACCTGTGCACTTGCTGGTCCTCTACTATTTTCCTTTCATTCTTTGGTCACTCATTAAATGAATATTTATTGAGCACCTCCACTGCAGGAAGCCTTGCTCCAGGCAGAGATGTGGCCTGGAGCAAAGCAGAGTCACCCTTGTGATGCTTACATTCTAGTGGAGGAGTCAGTGAACAATTAACTAAATTTTGTCAATATTTGACTTAAAACTCTTCTTTTTGTTCCTCTGGGGGGGAAAAAAAACAGAGAGGAGGTAAAAAAAACTGTAAGGAGGAAGAATAAAGCAGAGTGAGAAGGTGGAGCGTGGCAGGATGGGAGCTAGTTTTGGATGGGATGGTCAAGAAGACCTCTCCCAGGAAGTGACCTTTGAGTAGAGAGACCTAAGTGAATGAGGCAGGCAGTGACCCATGTGGATATATGAGGGAAGAACATTCTGGAACAAATGACCAGCAAGTCCAGAGGCTTGCAGATGAAAGCCAGTGTGCAAGAGATATTATGACAAAAAGTGATAGATGAGATAGCCAAGTGCTCCCCAGGCCAAGGCAGAGCTTTGGAGTTTTTCTGAGTGAGGTGGTTAGCCACTGGAGTATTTTGGGCAGAAGAGTGATACTATCTGACTTGCCTTTTAGAAAGCTCATTCTGCTGCTGTATTGAGTAAGGGTTGTTGGGGGCGAGTATGGAAGTAGAGAAACCAGTTAGGAGAGTATAGTGGTCATATTATAGGCGGGAAGACATGAACAGATATGGGGCATATTCTGAAGGCTAACATAACAGGATTTGTTAACAGATTGGATGCAGGATATGAGAAAAACAGTCATATATGACTCTAGGGTTTTTGGCCTCAGCAGCTGGATGATGGAGTTACCACTGACTGAGATGGGAAGGACATTAGGGAAGGAGCAGATTTAGGGGAGAAATGAAGTATTTCATTTCAGACCTAAGTTTGAGAAGCTGATCATATTTCCAAATGGGTATGTGGATGAGGTAGTTATAAATGCAACTCTAGGATTCAGAAGAGGGGTATAGCTGCTGGGGGGAGGGGATTCAAACAATAATCGCATTTACCTCTTGTTTTTGTTTTTTAGTAAATAACACTTATTTGATTCATTTTCTGATTATGAAAATAATCAAATTCTGAAAAGTCACCTATAAACCAAAACCCCTGCCATCAAATCAGTTCTGACTCATAGCAACCCTGTAGGACAGAATAGAACTGCCCCATAGGGTTTCCAAGGCTATAAATCTTTACAGAAGCAGACCACCTCATCTTTCTCTTGCAGAGTGGCTGGTGGGTTTGAACTGTGAACTTTTTAATTTTTTTTTTTTAAGAGCTTGTTTTACATTCAATGTAATGTGTACATTTAGTTTCATTCCCCATTTACCATGCCCAACCCTAACCCAGTCTCCTCCCCTCCCTACCCTGTAACCCTCCCCCTGTACCCCTCATATTTATGCAATCTTGTTTACCCTGCATTTCCTCAATTTGAAGGTTGGTCCTCTGGTGTCCCGTGGTCTATTACTCTAAGGGATGTATTACCATAGAGTATGTGGATGCATCATCCTGGGTTGAGTGGTCTACGTGTACATCTTGTAACTATTGGGCTGAGAGCCAGCCCCTGGGGGTGCATTTTATTCCAGGCACAGAATGTATCCAGGGCAATAGTATTGGGGGTCTCATACTATTGGCGATTTTTTTGATTAGCAGTCAAATGCTTTAGCCACTACACCACCAGAGCTCTTTGAAAAGTCACCTATAATGACTTCCAAATTCTGAAAAGTCATCTATGAGCCTCCACCCTTCAAATCTGCAGTTAACATTTTGATGTATTTTTTTCTGGTTCCCCCCGCCCCCTTTCTTTTTGGTAAGGCGCTCTGGTCACATAGTGCCTAAGGTACTTGACTGCTAACCAGAGGTTTGGCAGTTCAAACCCACCAGCCACTCTGTGGAGTGAAGACTGAACAATCTACTTCCATAAAGATTTACCACCTCAGAAACCCAAAGGGGGTCGCTATGAGTCAGAATCGACTCAATGGCAGTAAGTTGAGTTTTTTTCTTTCTGGTGTTGTAGCAAGATTGAGATTATAATGCGTTGTGTATATTTTGTTTTATTTTCATTATACATTATAACTGGAGCTCTGGTGGCATACCAAAAACCAAAACCAAACTCACTGCTGTTGAGTCAGATGTGACTCATAGCGACCCCTCTTTGGGTTTCCAAGGCAGTATCTTTACAGAAGTAAATTGCCCAATCTTCCTTCTGAGGAGTGGCTGGTGGGTTTGAAGCGCTGGCCTTCTGGTTAGCAGTCAAGTGCCTTAGGCACTATGCCACCAGAATTCCCTCTGGTGGCATAGTGGTTGGTTAAAGCATTTGGCTGCTAACCAAAGAGTTGGCAGATCAAACCCCTAGCCGCTCTGTGGGAGAAAGATGTAGCAAATCGGCTTCCATAAATATCATAAAGATTAACAGCCTTAGAAATCTAAGGGACAGTTCTACTTTGGGTCACAAGAGTTGAAATTAGCTTGATAGCAGTGGTTTTATACATATACATATTTCTCAGTATTTTTTATGCCATGAAATGTTGTTGAAATGCTTTTTAATGACAGCTATTAGTGTTGTATTCCATGGAATGGATGAAGGTTAATGTATTAAATTTATCCTTCATTAGAATCTGGGGGAATTGTTATAGTGATTATCTCCACACTCTTCTCTGATTATTTTTCTGGAAGTGGAATTACTGGGTCAAACAGCAAAGTATAAAGCTCTGGATACTTTTTTTTTTTTTTTAAATCAGTTCACCCACCTTGTAAAGCTGTATTAAATTATACAGACAATTGTAATGTATGGGATGAGCTGCTTCATCATATTCATCAATTCTGGATGTTATAATAGAATAACAATTTTTTCATTTGGTGGCTGACAAGCATTATTTCTAATCTTAATTTGTATTTCTCACTCTATTTTCATTAACTCTGTGTTTTACAAAGTATATGTTTATTCTTTGCCCATTTTCTGTTGTATTTACCTTTTTTACTCTTCACATAACAAGACCATTAACTGTATATATTGCAAGCATTTATTTCCAGCTTTCTGATCCTTTCCTAATCTGCTTTTTTTGTTTTGTTTTGTTTTAACATGGTCAAGTTTTAAAAATTGTATGTAGTAAATTACAAGGTTTTCTTATATGCTTTTTTCTACATTTACAAAGTCTTTACCTATCCCAATAATTTTTTAAAATGTGTTGAATGTATTTGGGTATATGCGATAAGAAAATTGGTTAATTTTTTTCCAGTTATGGTAGCAATATTAGCTTTCAGTGATCCAAGATTTTTCCCATTGATTTGAAATACCAGCTATATAACATGCTATATGTGTACGAATACTGGCATTTTGGTTTTGCTTTTCACTACTATGAAGAGGGTCTTTTTTTCTTTTTTTTTTCAGTCAAGTAGCTCTGGTGGCACAGTGCCTAAGGCATTTGACTGCTAGCCAGAAGGTTGGCGGTTCAAACCTACCAGCTCCTCCACAGAAGGAAAATGGGGCAATCTACTTCTGTAAAGATTTACTGCCTCCAAAACCCAATGGGGATCCCTATGAGTAGGAATTGAGTCAATGGCAGTGGTTTTTTTTTTTTTTTTTTTTTTTTAATTGCTGATATGTAGACAAGCTATGGATAGTGCTTCGCCAGTCATTGTACACAGTTCTCTTAAGATTTCCTACAGTTTTTCAGGTGGTTCTCTTGGATTTTCTGGGTAGAAGATTTTATATGTAAGATGGCAAATTTGTTTCTTCTAATGGTTGTGCAAAGAAGCCCTTGTTGCTCGACGGTTAAGTGCTTGGCTGCTAATGGAAAGGTTGGCAGCTCAAACCTCTCCAGCAGCTCTGTGGGAGAAAGACCTGGTGATCTGTTCCCATAGGGATTCCAGCTTAGAAAACCCCATGGGGCAGTGCTGCCCTGTCATGTGCTATTGTGATGAGTCAGAATCAACTCAGCAGCACTTAACAACAGCAATAGTTGTGCAACTCTAATTACATCATCCTGATCTTCCAAGACAGTTTTAAATGGTAATTGGGATAGAAAGTATCCTTTTCTTGTTCCTCATTTAATAGTGACTGTCATATTTTCTTTTCTTAGATGTCTCTACCTTAGTTAGAAGATGCCCCAATCTTGTCCACCTAGACTTGAGGTATGATCTTGTTTGTTCATTTTAGATAAAATATTGAAAAAGCATGACTGCTTATTGAATGGGAGAAAAATCTTGATGTTCAATTAGATGAACTAAAGAGTAAACTATTTCTGTCTCTCCACTCTAGAGTTGATGAATGGGTTTTGATCTTCTTTTCTTGTCCTCTGTTTTAGTGATAGTGTTATGCTAAAGAATGACTGCTTCCAGGAATTTCACCAACTCAACTACCTCGAACACCTATCACTCAGTCGATGCTATGACATAATACCTGAAACTTTACTGTAAGTATTTTCTGTTCTTAAAGCTAGTAGGAGGCAGGGTCCAAAAGAGATGTCACTTGGTGTTAATGTTCGTTATTAATGTTGTTGTTGTTGTTGTTATTTGCCCTCGAGTCAGCCCTGACTCATAGCGACCCCTCCTTGGGTTTCCGAGACAGTATCACTACGGAAGTAGGATTGCCCAATCTTCCTTCCAAGGAGTGGCTGGTGGGTTTGAACCACCAGCCTTCTGGTTAGCAGTCAAGTGCCTTAGGCACTATGCTACCAGAGCTCCTTCATTATTAATAGTAGACATCAAAAACTTAAACATCAGTATCAATGTGCCACAAACTGATTAGGAAAGACAACAAGTAGAAAAACTGACGCAGAGTTTTTTGCTTCAACTGCCTGGTGAAATTGAGTTGACCAAGATAGCTTACTCAAACCAAACTAACTGCTATGGAGTCATTTCTGACTCATAGCGACCCCCATTGGGTGTCCAGGGCTGGAAATCTTTATGGAAGTAGATTGCCCGTCTTTTTTCCACAGAGCAGCTGGTGGGTTTGAACCACTGACCTTCCAGTTAGCAGTCAAATGCCTTATTCACTGCACCACCAGAGCTCCTTAGATAGTTCACTAAACATTTGTTATTGAGCAGTGAACAGGTTAAGTATTAGAATATTATACTAGTAACTGTAGAGAGCTTGCAAAAGAAATGGAAGACAGCTTTTGCCCACAGGGAACTCAGAGTGTAATGGGACGATAGACCTAAGTGTTTTTTGTTGTTGTGTTTTCAAATTTTTCAAAAAAACTCTAATTGATTCCACATACCTTTTGCTGGAAACCTGTATCTAGGCTCAGAGGAAAAGTTCTGTAACCTTCTAATATATCTGTCCAGGTTGGTGAAGGAGGGGGAAGAATGGGAGCATGTAGTGGTCTATATCTTAAGAACCAGTGTTTTCTTTGAACAAGTGGAGATTGAGGTCCGAGTAAGTAAAATAAATTATCCAAAGCTGCATAATGAGTCAATGGCTGAATTGAGTCTAGAACATAGATTTTTTTGGATACATGCAAAATAGTCTATATCTCGTGGACCATATGAGGGCTAATTTTTCACCAGTTCAGCAAATTCTACAGACTCATGGGAGTGCAAAGAAAGACATAATCTAGTCCATCATTCTTTTACAAAGCACTGTAAAGTGCTTTGACACAAGTCATCCTGGGAATAATATCATCTCTTTATTAAAAAGATTTTCCAGAAGCTGGAAAATTCTTCCTTATGTCAAATGTAAATTGCAATTTTGTTGAAAACCAAGAGAAGTCAGTATGTCAGATTTGGTCAGGTATCCTTCTTTCTTATTACAGCTGTCTTAGTTTCCTTGTGCTACAACAGAAATGCCACAAGTGAGTGACTTTAAAGAAATAAAAACATATCAGTCGGTATTCCATCTATTCCTGGAGTTTTTTATTTTTTTGACAATGCTTTCAGTGCAACTTGGACTTCTTCCTTCAATAGCATTGGTTCTTGATCATATGCTACCTCCTGAAATGGATGAACGTCAACCAACTCTTTTTGTTATAGTGAGTCTTTGTATTCTTTCCATCCTATTTTGATGCTTCCTGTGTTGTTCAATATTTTGCCCATAGAATCTATCAGTATTGCAACTTGAGGATTTTATTTTATCTTCAGGCCTTTCAGCTTGAGAAGTGTCAAGCAGTTTTCTAACTCTAGGTCTTTGCACATTTCATTATAATACTTTACTGTGTCTTCTCAAGCTGGCCTTTGAGATCTTCTGTTGAACTTTTTTACTTCATTTCTTCCATTTACTTTAGCTACTACCATTCAAGAGCAAATTTCAGAGACTCTTCTGATATCTTTCCTGTCTTTTTAATGACCTTTCTTCATGTATGATGTCTGTGATGTCATTCAACAACTTGTGTGATCTTCAGTCTGTGTTCAATGCGTCAAATTTTTTCTTGAGATGGTCTCTAAATTCATTTGGTATATACTGAAGGTCAGACTTTGGCTTTCATAGACTTGTTTTAATTCTCCTCAGCTTCAACTTAAACTTGCATGTGAGCAATTGATGGTCTGCTCTGTAGTTGCCCCCTGGCCTTGTTCTGACTGATGATATTGAGATTCTCCATTGTCTCTTTCCACAGATATAGTCAACTTGATTCCTGTGTATTTCATCTGGCAAGGTCTGTGTGTATAGCTGCCGTTTATGTTGTTTAAAAAAGGTATTTCCATCGAATAAGTCATTGGTCTTGCAAAATTCTGTCATGCAATCTCCAGTGTTGTTTGTGTCACCAAGGACTGCTTTCCAACTATCAATCCTTACTTGTTTTCAACTTTCATATTCTAGTGGCACAGTACCTAAGGCATTTGACTACTAACCAGAAGGTTGGTGGTTCAAACCCACCAGCCACTCCATGGAAGGAAGATGGCAGTCTACTTTCATAGAGATTTCCCACCTTGGAAACCCAGTGAGGGTTGCTGTAAGTTGGAATTAACTCAGTGGCAGTGGCATTTTCAGATTCTAGTCACTGGTAATTATCGATGCATTTTGATTGGAAGTTTGATCAGTTTCAGACTGCAAAAGTTGGTAAGTCTTCAATTTTTTCGTCTGTGGCATTAGTGGTTTGTGCATAAATTTGAATAGTCATCATATTAACTGGTCTTCCTAATAGATATATGGGTATTACTTTTCACTGACAGTGCTTTACTTCAGGATAGATCTTGAAATGTTCTTTTTGACGATGAATGCAATGCCATTCCTCTTCAATTTGTCATTCCCAGCATAGTAGACCACGTGATTGTCCTATTCAGTATGGCCAATACCAGTCCATTTCAGCTCACTGCACCTAGGAACTCTGGTGGTATAGTGGTTAAGGCATTTGGCGGCTAACCCAAAAAAACACTCGTGGTTTAAACCCACCAGTCACTTCGTGGAAAAAAGATGGTGGGCAGTCTGCTTCTGTAAAGATTTACAGCCTTGAAAACCTATTTGGGGTCTCTACTTGATAGCAGTGAGTTAAATACCTAGATGTCCATCTTAATGCATTTCATTTCATTTTTGATGCCTTCCAGTTTTCCTAGATTCACACTTTGTAATTCCACGTTTCGATTATTAATGGATGTTGACATCTATTTCTTCTTATTTTGAGTCATACCAGAACAGCACAGGAAGGTCCCAAAAGAATTATTCCATCCATATCATTAAGATCGACTCTACTTTGAAGAGGCAGCTCTTCCCCACATGTATTGTGCCTTCCAACCTGAGGGCCTCATCATCCAACACTCTATCAGTTTTCTGCTGTGATTCATAAGGTTTTCACTGGCTATTTTTTTCAAAAGTAGATAACCAGGTCCTCCTTCCTTGTCTGTTTAGTCTGGAAACTGCTAAAGGCTATCTGCCACTCGTCTGTCAATTTGTCATGCTATGGTGCTGGCATGTTGCTATGATGCTGGAAACCATGCCACTGGTATTTCAAGTATCAGCAATCACTTATAGGGGTTATGATTCCAAGAGACATTTTAGGGATGTACAATTCAATCCATAATAACAACCAAAGAGGCTATTGACATTGTTTAACTCACTGTCCAAACAAAGATAACTTAGCTTCTGGTTCCTATCTAAGAAACACAGTGTAGAGGGAGTTCCGGCAAGATGGCGGACTAGGCAGAAAGACTGCACAGACCCTCTTCAACAAAGAAAAGGGAAACCAATTAACACAGACACAGAAGATAATCCTGGACCCCTGAGCCTT